GGGGGGGGGGGGAGGAGGAAGCCCCGAGAGTGCCCATCTCCCTCTTAGACCCTGTGTGTGATCTGGAGTCAGTGGTTGGAAGGCCCATACCCCCAGCCTATGTCCCCCCTATGCGGGCCTTCCAAGGCAAATATTCCCCATTTTCCAGCCAAGAAGTCTTCTAGCCTAGGGCTTCTGAACCCAACATCTAAACTGCTCGCTGTTAAAGACGGAGCGCCTAAGGGGTGTATGTAGGATGAAGGGACCTTAATCCTTCCATCACCCTCAGGACTAGGGACCTCAAGCTTCCCTTCTTGGATGCTGGTTCTGATGGCCTTTCAGGTGGGGGGCAATGGAAACCATGTGAGTGTCCCTGATGTAAGGCTCTAGCCCTGACCTAAGTGCTTTTCCCAAGAAGAAAAAGGAGACAAAGGACCCTCACAGGTCCAGTCCTTCCCCTCCTACCCTATCCACAGCCTGTTGTGGAATGAGGAGTTGGTGAGAGTTTGCATATTTCTTTGGAGCATGGAGTTGGTCTGCCCTGTGATGATTGTTTTCCAGTGAGTGGCTGAGGTTCTGGCAGGGCCAGGCTGTCCTGCCTGCCCACCTGCCCAGACAACCTAGCTCTCCAAAGCATTCTTTGGGCCTTCAGGAAGGCACAGAGGGAGAGAACAGTTAGCAGCCTGGGTTGAGGGTAGAACATAAAGTATCCAGGCGGTGGGGGCTGAGGGGCAGAAGAGAGCTTCCCAGGTTAGGCCCCAAACCCTGGGGAGGCTTGGGGGAGGTTGTAATGGAGGAGGTGCTGGTGCCAGCCCTCCAGGGATGAAGCCAGTGGGAGGAGAGTCTAGGGGCCCTAATTTCAAGTCAGATAAAAGCCAAGCTGAAATGTTTACGATCAGAAAGATTGGGACTTTGATAAATCAAGTGGAAAGGCAGTTGAATTATGGAGCAGGTAATGAGGGCCGTGACCACCAATACTGATGGTGTAAGTGCTGGTCTTCTCCTGGCCCTCAACCCTAGCTGGATTGGGAGCCTCTGACCACAGGTCTTGGGCCTTCTGAACCTTGGGGTTGGCCCCTGAGTCCAGGGAAGCATTAAGCAGGATGTCTGGGAAAGGCTTGTCAGGAAAACCTGTGGAGCACCTGGTCTCTTGGGGTTCCTACAGCAGCTGGCTCAGTGGCCTATACTTTCTAACTTTTGATTTGGCTGCATAAAGTCCTACTGCCTCCCCCGAGAGGGCATTCGCTCTTCTGGAATAATACCTGCGAACTTGTTGGCCAGTTTCTCAGGGGTGCTTGGGAGCCCTAGGAAGGGCACCTGAGGAAGCCAGTTGTACTCCCATGAGGCCTCTGCCCCTTTCTCTAGTTCTCCTGCTGCCCCCTTCCCAAGTTCATTGGGGGGTCAGGAGCCTCATCTCTCTTGGCCTCAGCCCGCCCCCTCTCTCCACCTGCCTCTCTGGCTCTGTGTCCCAGGCTGGATCCTAATCTCTCATGCCCCGTCCTCCCGTCAGGCCTCTAAGCCCACCTCTAATGGTCCAGAAGGGAATAATGGGGGAGCAGGGTTGGCTGGGAAGGAAGGGGGAGGGGAGAATTACTCATTGCTGCAGCCCCCTCCCCTAGACCTTATCCAAGCTGGGACTGGGGGACACACCCAGAGCTGAGATTCCCCAGCGGGGGGGAAAGGGGAGGGGAGGGAGGAGGACCCTAATGGCTATTCTCTGCAAACCCTAGCTTTCCTCCGCAAGACAAACGGCCTCGCCTCCAGCCCGTGCCGGCGCGGCTGATAAATATTTAAAGCTAAAAGGCCGGGAGGAAGGGTGGGGGGCGAACTGGGGGCTCCGAGCGCCTTGGCGTCGGCGGAGAGAGATCCGCCGGGAAGCAGAGCGCGCCTGAGAGCACCAAGCCAAAAAGGGGGTGGGGGGCAGGCAGCACGCCGGGTCGCAGCCAAGGGGATGCTGCGTCCCCAGGGCCCACCTCCTACTGGGGGCACCGTGGACGCGGAAAGGGGCACTTGGCCGGGAAGGGGGCGCCTTCCGGGGAATGTGCCCGGGCCGGTGCGGCTCGGGACGGCTCGGTGCGCGGCGTTACCTGAGCTTCGCATCCAGGGGTAGATCCGGAAGTTACTCTCTGCGGCCAAGTCCGAGTCCCTCTGCTCCTTGGCGCCCGCCGCCTTGGCGGGGTCGCCGGGACACACCCCGGAGAGGTTCTGCTCAAAGGGTGCGCAGTGCATGTTGAAGGAACTCGGCTCGAGCCCGTAGCCGGCCGCGTAGACGCCGGCTGCACTCTGGCCCGCCATGCCCCCACCGCCGGGGTACAAGCCCTGCATCGAGGCGGCAAAGGAGGCGCCCGACCCCGCTCCATAGCCCGGGCGCTGGGGGTTGGAGGCAAACGCACAAGAAGTTTGTTCGGGGAAGGCTCCGGTGGCGAAAACCGAACTTGCGGCTGGATATTTAGAAAATAAAGCGTTCGCATAATACAATGAACTCATAATTTGGCCGGATGATTTGTAGGCAGGGACGTTTTAGTGTCGGTTTTACGAGATTCCTTGATATATTACAGAATTAGAGTCCAGATTTACACCAAAAAGGACCCCCTTTTTCCTCTCTGGGCCACGTGACCCCACCCACGTGACGTCCCCTCCGCCAATGGCCGGGCAGCCTCCCCACGGCTCCCGGTAATGTGGAAAAAATTGTGTGGCGTTGGATTTATAAAATATGATCAATAATGAATGAGGAAGCGAAGCTCTGTGGATTGGGGCTGGGGGCTCAAGGGCCGCTGTCGACCCCCGTGGGCTGGAGGCAGCTTGCCGGCAAGATTTGGGGAGGAAGGGATTGAGTGGACGGGAAAATAGCCTCCGAGAGACCCGCGCTGTCGCCCCCACCCCTCCTTCCCAGCCCGTTACCCAGCGAGAAACAAACGCAGGGGCTGCACGCAACCGGGCGGGTGGGTGCGGGCAAGTCAGATCTTTATTCATCCGGACCAGTGCGGCCTGGCGGGGCCTTTGGGAGGACTCAGCCCAGTTCTCCTGAGGTGAGGAACGAGCTGAGCCTGGCGTCGGGCTCTCTCTTGGTGCCCCAGACACACGGGCAGGGAAGGAGCCAGACTTCGTGGGTGTTCCCAGAGGCGCCGGATCCAGCCCACGGGAGTTGGATGCTGCGTTTTCTGGTGGTTTAAAAAAAAAGAGGTTTGAAAATTT